TTTACTCACCCACAAGATTAAGCAGATGTTAATATTTAGCCATGTTTGTTTCATATCTCTCTTTTTTGGAAGAAAAAAGGCATAACAGATGTAACTAAAATACCATTTTCCTTTCTTCTTTTCTCCTTCCTCCAGTTAATCATTTCTTCAAATATGTGTCATCATATTATGTGTGTTAACTTTTATGTAGGTAATATTTATTTCCATATTGAAAGATAGCGAAATTGCTTCTGCTTTTTGCCACTGTTTCCAACAGAACTACAGTAAATATTCTTCTTATACAAAATGTGCGAGCATTTCTCTCTCGCCCAGGCCACCTAGAAGTGGTGTTGCTGGGGTAGACATCATCACCTCTACCTATTACCAAATTGCTCCGGAAAGGAATTGCAGTGGAATATTTTGTAAGCAGTTTATATGAGTTCCTCTGTCCTGACATCCTCACTGACACTTGTATTTGGACTTTCTAAATTTTTGCCAGTTTTGATAGGTGTAAAATGTTACCTTGTTTTAATTTGTAGTTGTCTCTAATGACTAGTGAGATTGAGTATTTTTTTTTTAATTTTTTAAAATTTTTGAGATGGGTCTTGCTCTTTTGTCTGGGCTAGAGTGCAGTGGCATCATCATAGCTCACTGCAGCCTCAAACTCCTGGGCTCAAGTAATCCTCCTGCTTCAGCCTCCTGAGTAGCTGTGACTACAGGCACTCACCACCATGCCTGGCTGATTTTTAAATTTTTTTGTAGAGATGGGGTCTCTCTATGTTTTCCAGGCTGGTCTCAAACTCATGACCTCAAGCGATCCTCCTGCCTTGGCCTCCAAAAGTGCCAGATTACAGGCATGAGCCACTGTACCTGGCCTGAGTATCTTTTCTGATACTTATTGTCTTTTCAGGTTTCTTTCCCTGTGAATTCTCTGCTCATATCATTTGCCCATTATTCTGTTAGGTTGTTTGTTGACTTTGTTGGGTAGGTATGTTGCATAAACCTTCTCCCAGTATGTAACTTATCTATTCTCTTTACTTAGGTTTTTTTGAGAGCAACTCATGCAGCTGAATTTGGCTTGATTTTTTTTTTTGAAGGTTTGCACCAATAGTTATAAGTATCAATGGCTTAAATTTTTCTTTTGTGTTATCCTCCATGTCAAGGTGATATTATGTAATGAGTTCAGCAATAGTCCTCTTTTTTCTATTCTCTGAAAAAAATTGAGATGATCTCTTCCTGGAATATTTGGTAAAATTCACCTGTGAAACCATCTAGGCCTAGTGTTTTTGGTAGTTGGTGATTGATTGATTGGGGGGGGTGATAGGTAGAGTTATACTACTACTTTTATGGTTGTGGACCTATTCAAGGTTTTTATTTATTCCTGAATATATTTCGATATTGCATTTTTTCTGTGAGATTGTCTATTTATGTAGTGTTTTCAAATTTATTATCAAATGTTATTCGTAGTATTTTCATACTCCGTAAGTTTCTACCATATTTATAAGTTATGTCACTTTTTAAATTCCTGGTGTATTCATGCCTTTTCTCTTTTCCCGATCTATCCAGTTTTGTTGGTTCTGTTTATTATTTATTTTCTTTGTCATTAATTTCTTCTCTTTGTAATTCTACATTCTTTGGATGTACTCTGTTTATTTTCAGACTTCTCAAATTAGATGCATAGCTCATAAATTTTCAGTTTTTCTAATATATACATTTAAGACTATGAAATATTCAATGAGATCTGTTTTAGCTGTATCCCAAACATTTAGATATGTCATGTATTTATTGTTCAATTTATCCATTATGATTTTTTAAACTGTGAATTATTTAGTAAATTTAAAATTTTTCAAATGTATTGA